TCCTAAGACTTTAATTTTGCTGCTTCTTCGGTGATTTCTTTGAAAATTAAAAAAAAAATTTATGTGTCTGTGACTAAAATGGGTGTTCAAAAAATATTGTTACGCAGAATGTTATACTAGTCATGAAAGGAATTGTAAGCAAAAGGAGACAAAATTATCTAGTCCTCGTCAAACTCGACAGTGATACCACTAAGCATACAATATTCATAGTGGTATTCTGCTGATGCTACATTAATAATTCGCCCAAAGCGTACTTCCAACAGTCATGTTTGATTAATGAATGATAAGATATCGTGATTCCTGACGGGGTGGGTGTGGCGGAGGGCGTGTGAGTGAGAAGTGAACAATTCGTTATTTCTTTTTAATTTCACAAAGAGTATACATATTTAGTAAATATCATTTTCAAGCAGGGATATCTGAAAAACATTCTTCTGTTTCTTCATTAAATTCATATTATTATGCTTTTATATCGTCAATCACAACTCACAACAAGCTTTTCACTGATTTGTTTAAAGTCTATTTTTATTTTTAATGTATGTGTGTTTTTAATGTGTATTGATAATCTTTTACTAATTCAAGTTTGATATACCCTGTATCATTTATTTCTCATTAAACTTAAAACAAATAAATTCCAATATTATAGACCGAAATAAACTTAAGATGTTTCAAAAAAGAAAAATATACCGTGGCATATTATCATCCAAATAGGGTTTTTTTTTAAATTAATTAATCATTCAATTCAATTCAGTTCAATGTATTTACGTATTGCTCACATGTAAAATAAAGCCTCAGACATGGTTTACAAAAAACATAAATAGGATACAAAATATGGAGACACTTTGGTGATGAAAAAATAATAATTATATTGATTATTTATTTGGTTATGGCTTGTTTAATTTCCTTAAATTAAAAAGTTTAGCTAACTTCAAGCATAGTTTTGAAATAAAAATTATTTACTACTACACACATGGAAAAATTCAGCTTTTAAATTGAATTGAACTATATCGGAATAAATCTGATAAACGAGTAAATAAAAGTATTGAATTATATGGGTAAATGATAACCGTGTTAATGATCATCAAAGGCTCTCTCTTAAATCCCATCTAAAGTGTTGGGTGCCCCAAAAATTTGATGGCAAAAAAATCATGTAAGTTTTATAATTATGTGAACGAGGATGTCCCTTAAAACACACTGCTGCAAAGATTTCGAAAACAAATTTGTTTAAAGCCGAATATTAATAAAAGAATATAAAAATTGGGTTTTCTGCGTACGACGGAAAACCCAAATTGTATATTATTCTTATATTAATATTCGGCTTCAAATACGTTTTATGGGGGAAAATCTTTGCAGAAGTGTGTGTTTAATGCCATCCTCTTTCAAATCATTACAAAATTAAAGTGAATTTTGCCATCCAACTCTTGGCGAATTTGGGGCTTTTTTCCATGTAACTTATTTCCATAATATCATGAATAGATAAACGAAGTAGTAATTTTGTAGTACAAATATTGATTTCAAAAAGGTCTCTTAGGGTGAATAAGAATAAATGCCCTTAAAGGTCATTTGAATAAAACATCACGCACATCGTTAGTTAGGTAATGGTGTGAGTTAAATTCATTTTCACACCATAATTATTTAAAAGAAAATTTAAAAGAAATGTCATAAAGTCAGCTTTTAAATTGAATTGAACTATTGTTGGATGTCACGCCATTGTTGTTATATTGTTACTATGTTTTATAATCTGTATAACTATGTACATTGTTTGTAACACCTGTACCAGTGGACTACGAATTTCCATTTTGTATGAAAAATAAATCAATTCAATTCAATTCAATTCAATTCAATAAATCTGATAAATGATGAATGGGTAAATGATAACCGCGTTATCATGACATTAATGGAAAAAACCCAGAAATAATGGATAGCAAAATTTATTGTTTGGTGATTAAGTATAAAAGGATTGTTTGTAAAGCACTGTGTCCTTTATCTGAGTTTTCTCCCTGGTTTGAGAAACTCAAAGAAAGAAAATAAAGGATGATCGACATTTTTCATGATTTCTTTGGCTTTTTGGGCGATTCTCTTTTTACATTCTTCCCCAAGTTCCGCTTTTGTGATTCTTTCTGCATGTTTGGCTATTTTTTTCCTCTTCAGTTTTGCGAGATCTCTTCTTCTACAACTAATTGAAGTTTATGACTCAATATAAACGGACCGATTTGGTTTATAGACATCTTTAGTTTATCATTATCTGTTAAAGAAGAAAAATCAAATCGCGTATTTTCATTTTTACTGAAAGTGATGGTCGAAGTTATGCTTTAGGATTCATAATTTTCCTTTCAGTCACCAACTTCCATAGTTTCATTCTTTCTTTTAGTAAAGTTTCCTTCACTGATTCCCCTTAGGCGAATACTAATAATTTAGAAGTATGATATCAGAATTTGAAATTAAATGTACAGAAATTGAATAATGTCTGATTTGGAAGGAAAAGAAAAGAAAAAGAAAATCACCGCGGTGCAGTTCCTGCATGGTTCATTAAATTGATTTTAAATTTTAAATTAAATTTTTGATACGAGTCGTAAGACTCGAAGTGTATTTCGATAATAATATGATATAATTCATTGCAACTTCTACAATTTGTAAGCAAAAAATTCAGTGAGTTTTATTGTGCCCTCATTGATGACAACCAAACAAAACTTATTTTCAGCATCGCTTCTTTATTTGATCGGGCGCATTTAACCGATCCCTGTTGCTACAATCACGGGTTATAAAGTATGAATAGCTCAGTATTAAAATGAAGCTGGATATTGTGAAAGATTCACGACTCATTATTAATTAACATCGTGTGCCCAGTGGACAAGCAAGCTTTATTCTGTACTACACTTCACATTTAGCATAATATTTTAAAATTATAGTATACCACGTGTCTTGTAATTAGATTCGTTATTATAATTGCTTTGTTACTGCTGTACTCTACACATATTATCTTTGCTAATTTTGCCGTCTGGAAATGGCACATAAAAAGCAGTGATAATTGTCTGAGACTATAGGTACAGTTTGATAAAATAACAAACAACAAGAATATGTCAGGATATTCCATGTATTCTCTTGTACACTGGACGATATCTTTGACTTGGGCTCCTCGCCATAAATGTTTAACTGTATAATATTGATTTTAATCATCTATGTCAAAGTCAGTTTTTTTTTCTCCCTTTAAAAAAAATAATTTAATTTTCACTTTATCTTCAGTCCTTTGACCAAACATCCTCGTCATGATTTAATATGGCTAATTTAGTGGAAGGCTCACACTACCCCCGATATTGTACGTTCTAGTCATTCGAAATACCTTCATCAAGAAGACTTTACACGATCTCTCGTCCGAAGGTATTTTTCCAAAATCGATTTTTAGTCGGACGGGGCCCATCTAAACACTCTTGCCTGTTTGCACAGGGCAACCAAAATTAGATGTTTGACAAAGCATGCAAAATAAATATAGATCTGAGTGTCCCGTTCCGCAAACAAAGAAAATCAACAGTCACGATTTCAAATTGTGATCAGCGGAATGATTATTAATTTGGGCAATTAGTAAGCTTGTTAATCTAATAGTAAGACATTTGATATGCTGTACATCTTTACTTACAGCTTACTGAGAGCATTTTCAATGCCATGTTTTCTATGGCAATAGCCACATTTTTAAATTAATCATTTTGTTAAATCAGTTTAAAGCTAATTGTAAGCTCTGGTATTGGAATCGTACGTCGAGAGAACATGACTATAAATAATTATGGATTGTTTATCCTGCAGTAGATTGATTGTTTGAACCAGTAAAATAAAAATAATCTCATAAAAACTTCTGAATTCATCATCAATAAAAACCACAACTCTCATTTGCACATAGTGACCTGTGTTAAGTACATGGTATCGGGGCTACTTACCTTGACTTTTTATCTTTCCAGGCTCATTACTCAGCCCTATTTTATACCAAAATCGTTTGGCTCATGTCATATATTTGTAAACTTGAACATTCAGTTTAAGTTGTGTTGGATCTGTGAGAATTTTTTTTTCTACCATCATTTCCAGAACTCAAGCTTATCTTTAACTGATTATTTATTGTATTTTGGAGCAAGCGCCGAGAGCTGGCGGCAACCGGCGTCATAAAAGACATCGGTAGTATGATAATACCTTTACGTTAACAAGGAAGTTTCTTTTTAATTTCACATCACAAAACATTGAGCTGATTTGTTTTGTATGCATAGTATCAAATTAAATGAAGCATGCACGTATCTCTCCGTTTGCCCAGCATGCGAGCATTTTAAATTAGCAGAATTGTGGCGCTATATATACATGTGCTTCTTCAAGAAGCAGGAACCCAATGCAATGTAATGCGATGATTCAAGCCGCACCTATTTCTAATCGAGCTGATAGAATTCCAGAAATCGCATCGTTTTAGTAGTCTACTGTTTTTCGATGAGAGTTGAGGAAATCCTGTGCATAGGTTTGACCCAATTATCCTTGGTGTTCTGGTAATTGTTCTTATCATTTCATGATGTGAGTCTGGCCAAATTTTTAGCCACTGGTTGTCGATTACATTTTTCTATTGAAGAGTGCGAGAAATGTTTTCTTATGTGAATGTCATATGTACCAAGTGATCAGATCTTCATTTCAAACAGTCTCATTTGAACAAACGATTTAATATACGACAGTATAAAAAAATGAAAACATCCATGCATGCGTTAAAATAAAAGATGGGATTCTTTTTTATTTTTAAAGAAGCTGTTTACACGATATTTGTTTTTACTTCTTTTTTTTTTCTTTTTAAATCTTGCCTCTCATTTTAAATCAATTTAATCTAGATTTATTCCGCCTCAAATCCTAAATAAGTTAATCACCCCAGGTCCTTCAAAATAATCTTAAATGAGATTGCATTAGTGTTTATTAATTGAAAAATGATGGTCGTGCATTTTGATGATGAATTAATGTATTTCTTATGTGTCTTTTGATACATACAGAAGCAACAGGATGCGTGGAAAATCTGTGGTGTGGGACCACTTCAACTGCGAGGATGAAGACGGCGGGCAGGGGTCCTCACCAATCGGTGGTAAGTGTCGGCCTGCCGCCTACTGCAGCTACTGCAATCTCAAGTACACCTTTCCTAACGCCACCAAGATGATGAGACACTTGCTCAAGTGTTCCCTGTGCCCTGATGCCACCAAGCGGGAGTTGGAGCAGAGCGGGTTTGGTGAATACCGTGTCGATCACAACGGCACATCCATAAACACTTCGCATGATGATGATCTGCATGCGACGCCCTCTATGGTCCGTCAGATGATTTCACCAGTCTATGTGGAGAACGAAAGTCCAACGCCGGGGACCTCGGCGCTGTCGCCGCACGCTGGGTTCTTGGTTGTTCCGAATCCGCTACCTCGGAACGATCACCACGAGATGAGGGCAGGCCGTTTGAGCGGTGATTCCAATAGGATGGAGGACCAGGATCAGGTCTTGCCTGCAGACAGGTCTCTGGCAAGAGCAGTATTCTCTACAGACGTTCCGCTAGATATCGTACAGAACGTGCACTGGCAAGAGCTGTTTCGGCATCTTCAGCCATCGTACACCTTACCGTCCATAGAAACACTCACCGGGAGACTCCTCGATGATGAGTACATGGCGACATTCGAAAGGGTGTCAGCCGAAATCAGCAAGGCTAAATTCGCAGCTGTGTTGGCGCATAGTCACCACAGTGGTAGCAGGACTTATCCGCTCATGGGGAAAAAGATCAACCTTATCATCACCACACCAAAGCCTATGTTCGTAGGCTGCATGGACGCTGGACAACAGCAGAACCCTTCTGTTGTTGCCGAAGTAATCTCGGGTGTGATTGCCAAGACAGGCCCGAGTCATGTGCTCCTTGTCACCACAGACTTGACCAAGAACTTCCGTGGAGCCTGGTCAATCATTACATCGCGCTTTCCGTTGATCACCATGGCAGGTTGCCCGATCGAAGGACTTAAAATGATACCAAAGACTCTCTTGGCGCAGGACACGGTGCGTGGTATGGTCAAGCGATCTTTCAAAGTGTGTGACTTCTGGAATCGACTGGTCTTGAACGATGAAACCCTGAGCCATCTTCAGTTACCATGTTCAGCTTCAGAAGAGAATGGAATCATGAGCACCACCGAGGTGATGATTGCTCTAGATGGTTTGAGGGAATGCAAAGAAAAATTGCAAGATTGTGTTCTTGCCAAAACAGTACCCGTCGACTCCGAAATCAAAGAGATCATCCTGAATAAGTTGTTCTGGGACACAGTGAATCTCAGTGTTCAGGTGTGGCATATCATCCATCTCGCCATAGCTAAGCTTGAACTAGAAACAGCTCGGCTGTCAGACGTTGTCGTCGAAATCATGAAAGCCGACAAGTCCCTGGAGGATGCCGTCGGTGACTCGTGTTTGAAAGGAAACGAGAGAGAACCCATCCTCCAGCAATCGCATGAAGTCAAACTATCTTGTTGGACAAATCTGCACTACGCCGCCTGCCTTGTCGATCCGAGATACTGCGGAAACTGTTTGCCCGAGAGCGCCACCAACGATGCCATTCAGTACATTGTAGAGTTAGGCAAGCACCTCGGGCAAGACGTTGGTCGCGTTCTGGCCAACCTTGCCGAGTTTCGCGCCAAGGAAGGACGTCTTTGGTCGCAGGAGTACGTCTGGGAGGCTTCCTCACACGTGGCTCCAGCAACGTGGTGGAAGGGGATCTGCGACAGACAACCTCTCTCCCAGATCGCTTCAGGAATCCTGGGCCTAGCCGTGACGTCATCGATGTCGGAGGCGGTGGCGTATCACCGTGAGGAGAACGTGAGTCGTGATCAGGCGCAGAAGATCATGTTCGTCCGCGCAAATAACGAAGTGATGTCCAACCCAAATCACCACCCTGATATGATCATGGTTCCTGGTGGATATTAGAACTTGATCAATATTCCAGACATTTCAAGACAAGTTGTACCCTCGATAATTGTTTTTGTTTGTTCGAATGTTCATTCATTTGTTTGTATCTTTTTGTTTTGTTGTTACTCAGATATTGGTTTGTGATAGAGATTAGAGGTCATTTTTAAAGCAACTTATTAATTTACCTTGTTTGTCGTTCTCCAAAGATATGTATAGTGGAGATAGACTTACTTACTCTTCTGCATTCACTCACAAGTTACTAATTCAGCTATGGGCGATTACAAAAAAAATTATTTAATTCTCTCGAATTTCGCAGAAATCTTTGAAAAAAAAAGCAAACATCCCATTTTGTGAAATTGTCCGAAAATTCTTTGAGATTTTTGATTCATTTTTACCAAATAATAGAATGTCATGACCCTTTCTTTAAAAGAACAACATTATGTGAACTAACTAAATACCAACATTTTAGAAAAGATACCCTGTCTGTTTGTTTGCCAATGGAATATTTATTTTCCTTTTATTGATGTGGACACTTGAAACAAATTGTACACTTATCGTAAGATAATGAATCGGATGCTTTCTTTGTAGAAGTTATCGAACTTTGTGATTTTAAATAATCAGTCATGTAGGCCCAGTACACTGTTAAAACGAAATATGTTTTTTTTTAATGCCCAACACGAGGAAATTTTACCAAAAGGTGTCCGACCTTGCGGAAATTCATGCCCGATTTAGATATTATTTTACTCAAACATTATCAACTTTTACTACAAATTGAGCAAGATGTGCCTATAACTGCCCTGTCCAACTGTTAACCAGATATTTAATTACTGCATGTTCAGCATTTTCTTTTACCCAACACTTTAAACAATCATTTACGCATGCATTTGAGCATCACTTTTAATGATGCAGAAATTTCCTGGAAGGGATGTTCATATCTTTTCACTATTGCAGAGTGCAATTTTTTTACCATAAATGTAAGAAAGGTAAATATTTTGCTCATTTTTAAGAGTAACAATCCTTGTATTATGAACACTTTCATAACGATATATTTTGTGTGCATCAATAAAAAGTCACACATTTACAGAAGTAGCACGTGTGACGTGACAAAATTAGTGATGAGGCCATGATGTTGCCGTTGTATTGAACTTTTATTTTAGAACATTTTATTCCTATTATTTAAGACTTGCCAAATCTCATGCTATACGCGATGTTCTAAACTAAAGTATGAGCTCATTTTCCGAGGAATTTGCGAATCTCATTTATTATGGTATACAATAATCATAAATTTCACCATTAGTTTGTTGTTCACACCAATGACGTCACATTTAATGTTTTTGTTTATAAACGGAAAGATTTGTTTTTCATCTCGCTGTGTCGGGTAGTTTGATCAAAATCGCTCACGTTAAGGAGATCTCGATTGAAATACATGTATGTGCAATTATTATGTGTAAAACAAATCTCTTAATCAAAGTTCTGCTGTAACATTTCAAAATTACGACATTTGAGAAGGCAGTGTCAATCATATAACGTAACCAGACACCGTACTACAGAAGGGAAGATTCATTATATTTTGAGGAAATTGTCTACTCAGAAATGTTTTATATTTTTTCCAGATACTGTGCCATTTACTCAGAAATGTTGGGGCTTTTTCATAAAGAGGAAGTAACAACAGAAAACAACAGAAAACAACAGAAAACAACAGAAAACGCTTTAGAAACATACAATAGAAAGAATGTTCAGGAATTCAAATTCTGTAGAATTACCTGTAAAGGTCATACAGTTGATATAGGAGATAATAATTTGTCGTACCCATTTCACACTATGCTTCATTTCAAATGCAGTATAACCTGCGCTAATTAGCCCCGTCAATGAAAGCAATACTTTCGCAGTTTATTTTGGCTTCGTCTTTGTACAATACCACCCTGACAAGGTGCGTCAATGACGGTATAACAGTCACTAACGCAGTCCTCCGTCAGCGGCCTTTTACCCGAGTCACACCACCGCCAAACCGATTTCATACTGACCAGTTTTGGGGCCATTCGTCATATGCAGTTCATAATCGAGAGATGAATTACTAGTTGTAATACCCGTAATACAAGATACGTCATTTCATTTGTCCAGTGTGTTGTCGGTCTCGTGTCGGTCTCTTCGGTGTGACTGGCGTATGAGCAATAAGTTTTAAGGGGCCTGGTGGAAGAGAGTTTTAAGTAGACGACGATCTTCGTTTGATACGCATGATGATGAGCAATGAGTTATACAAACGTACTTGTATGAGCCACGTACTATGTTGTATAATAATTGTTATTAAATTCGTTTTGATACTAATTACATGTTCGATTTTTAGTTGTTGATGTTTTTTTGTTTGTGTTTTATCCTGTATGGTACGTCACAGTTGTAATGCTTTTTTTTTTAGACCTTATGGCGTATTTGTTTGAAAGTTAAACTTTTTATCTCAAAAAACAACTTTACCTCCGACATTTGTAGCTGTGTTTTCTATACATCCTACAAACTCTGATTCGCTGAGCCCACAAACTCTCAAACATATATATATATATAGCAATATATATATATATGTATTTGTTTATAACCAATACAAATTTATTTCATGATAGCATAATGGTGTATGGTTGTGAGAGTACTTTTGAAGAGACACATTGTTTTCTTTCTAAAATGAAAGCTTTTCAACTACTCCAGGTTTTATCATAACCATTCATGCGGTATTGAAACTGGGATTTCCCATCCAGTCTCTTATCAACAAAATAATGCTTTCAGGCCCAGCATTGCTGCTAGCATTCAGTAATTAATATTTTCAAGTCATGGAACATAACAACAAGGAAATGAGTGAATACAAGGACCAATTGCAGGATTGTATCGGTCGAAAACGTGTATTAGTTCTTGGTCAGTCCCGGTGCACTTGGATACTACAAAAATAATATTGAGATAAAATTGTAGACCCTACCTGTATTTTGTAAAAGATTAAAATAGCACTTGTCGCCTACCCGTTTTATATTTTATGACGCCAGTCTCTTCAGTTTAGCCCCTCCTCTCCCGAGAATATGGAATTCACAAATACATGTATTCGGGCAACTATCTGTGTGTGGTTATGGGGGGGGGGGGGGTAAATCAAAATTGAACATGGACTTTGAAAGTTGATGAAAGTCTACCCGCTTTATTGCGTAAGCTACTTCAGTTTAGCCCCTCCTCTCCCGAGAATATGGAATTCACAAATACATGTATTCGGGCAACTATTTGTGTGTGTGTTTAAAGGGGGAATCAAAATTTGCCACGGACTTTGAAAGTTTATGAAAGTTAATTCAGCCTAAGCAGACGTTTGTTTTTAAAATCAATTGATAGGAAAAACAGATAATACCAAGATCCGGGAGTAGATGATTTGACACTCACCATTAACACATGGTCGAACTCTCGAGTCGTATCCATCAAGAAGCTCATTGTAAAGTGACGAAACCAATCTCTCCTCGGCATCTTGAGCTGTGCAATTCAATGACCTGTCATTATAGGAAATTTTGAATAATAATGATTATAATAATTATGGTAAAGTGATGATGACGAGGAGGTGGTGGTGGGGGAGGAGGAGTAGAAGAAGGAGAAGGAGGAAGAGAAGGACGATAGATACCATACACAGGCATAAACAATCTGCAAGAAGGGTGCCTCCTCCCGTGTTCCTATATCCCCCACCCCCTCCCCAGTCTAGTGTCAACAAGAAGCGAAAATGAAAGAGAATGAGAGGGAGAGAGAAAGATAAAGAAGAGGGAGCGGGAAAGTCATAATAACTTACTCTGTTATCTCGCAGTGTAAAATCCATATGCCCAAGATGATAAGCACACGCATGATCATGTTAGCCATGGCGTCTAGATGGAGGAGTGCCTATGACACCGGTGGGTCTGGGTAGAAAAGTGGTGGAGGAAAAAAACAACAGAATTTCATGATGATAAAATTATGGGGGTAAATAAATTAAGACACTATTTAACATACTAGTCACGATTCATAGTTCGATACTGCAAGAACAGAGCATTTTACGAATAATATGATAAAAGATAATTAAGACAATATTACACTTACTTATCAATGCATGTGTTGACATGTTATGGCCGTTTCATTCGCATTTGCAATTTTTTTGTCGCTCAAAATATTTAATGTAGGCTGTGAAATAATCCTTCTATTCTATACTACGTAATGTATTACATAACAGAAGAGCTAATTTTCAAAACGCGCACTTATGTAATGAAGCGGGCGGCTTATACACGTCGTTTATAGCAAGACATGTTTTCAAATGGAATTATACCTGGTAGGAATAAATTATTTTCTACATGAGCGCCTTGCTAATTGCATTTAGGCCAATTTTGCTTTTGTCGGGTGTCATGTTTTTTTTTCTTTTCTCTTTTCAGTCCTCAAGCGAGGTTCTCATTTCCATAATTTCAATACATATTTACATTAATTCCTCAATGATTGAGTGAAATATAACATATGCTAAACATTAAAGTACATTCAACAATTCTACCAGCTAAGTATTATTTTCTTTGCTAACTCATTCATACCTTACAAACAATCTTATAGCAACGATTTGAACTTAAAAAAACCCAAAGCATAATTTATGGGTAAAAACAAAACCAATGACAATCTTTTTAACGTAACATTTATACATTGCATGTTGTGCATAATTTAAAATAATATTCAGGAGATTATATTTCTTGTTTTCTATGTCCTTACTTACAACTAATATCTTTTGGATTATTTGTAGTTCTACTTGGAATAGTTGAAATATCAAATTACATATTATTTTCCAAAACATAATCACATCCTTGCAATATAACATGAAGTGAAACGTAGAATCAACTTGTCCACAAGTGTGACATAAATTATTATTCACTATTTGACATGAGTATATCAATTTTCTTTTGAGGCAATAAACCTATGAATCATCATGAAAATAAATTGTTTAACTTTATTATTCAGAACTTGCTTTAATTTAAATGAAAATACATCTTTCCAAACAAAGTCATTATCTAAATCTAGAAAGGAATATTGACTTCTTCCCTATTAACAAACGATAGAAATCTTTCACTTTCATAACAAAAACATTTCAATTGTAATATAAACGATATGAAGTTATTTTGGTCTAAACATAATTTGCCAGAATTTTATGTAGATATATATTTATTTACTTGGTCAGACTAAAATTCATTGACATATTCAAAGTAAGAAATTTTCCAAATGAAATTATTTGGAAAAATAGTAACATAACCTTTAAATATTGTTTTATCGAGAATGGCATGATGCCGGTTTATTGAAAATTCATAATTTGATTACTAATGGTATCTGGAACGATTCTACATCAATTAAAAAGTGGACGCGCAACAGCTCTTATTTGATAATAAATATACAAAATTAAAGAAAGCATTTTCGCAATGTTGGTTAGATAAATTAAATGATGTCAATGATTTTGAAGATGAATGTGATAATGCGAATCTTAAAAAATAGAAACAGGTGATAAATTTATTTGTTGTTATGTCGGGTGTCATGTTGATTATACAGCATTATAGTTTCATCAGGGTGCAGTTATTATTCACATCAACATAAGACAATTTCAATACCTTATTGTACATCCCACAGAAATCATATTCGGATTACATAATACCTCATTGTCGCATATTTCAATGAAACGGTGATGCACAAAACTAGTATGCATTATGGTTATTAAAATATATTTCTTTTAAGCAATCAAAGGCTTTGATCTTGTTTAAACATAATTAAAATTAAAATGAATTTATTAAAAAAAAAAAAAAAGTTCATGTTGCATCGTGCATCTTTACTTTTTGGAATATGGTCTATGATAGAGCACCATTGCAAGTACATATTAATAGTGATAATACACTGTTACTAGTGAGCGATTACTTTGTCTGAGGTTATTCTCTTTCTGATCTAAATTAACGGGTGGATACAATTAGTTAAATTAAGAACATAACGATAAGTATAGAGATGGAAAACGAAAGAAGGAGATAGAGATTGAGGGAGAAAGGTCAGTTAAAGGTAGACAGAGACATGCATGGGAGGGGGGTGAGAGTATATTGGCATAAACGAGAAGTATGTCTGTGACAAGAAAATGTACGGAATCATAGAAACTAAAAGACAATGAGACTTCTTAAATTAAAACTCTACATCAGTGTGCATAACATTATTACTTTTGGAATCCGGTTGACAAAATACATGCCAAGTATATATCAAGTACTGCCAGATCCGGGAGCAAGGAAATTCTTAGTATACCAACACTATTATTGTCTGCCTACCTTAATCACGTCGCTATGGCAACGACAACATTAATTTAACTCATAGTAGAAGCAACACCGCTCAATCATAAATCATAAAATAAACAAGTGATGGCACTCGAGGATGAATAGATTAATGGATTGTGTAAATTAGTTGGTTAATGACCTGAATACAGAAAGATTGCATTTTGCGGCGCTAAATCCTTTTGACATACCAGTAACTGTTGTTGTTATTGGCCTGTATCATTTAATGAGCAAAGGTTGAGGTAAAACTGCAACATAAAAATTGCTATCAAAATAAATGGAATCCTACTGCAGTTATTCATTCCTAGTGAGTACCATCCCCTAATGACAGTTCAGTTTCAAGCAAACATTTGCCAAGCAATAACTACGGCAATAAAAACGAAAAAGAAAATAAAAACACTAGATAAAGCAGACACTATTTTAAGTCCGTGATTGAGAGAAAATGTCCTCAATTCTTATTTCATTATCCTCAGCCCCCCAACATCCCGCCCCAATAAATTTTAAAAATGAAAGAGGAACAAAAATCGCAGTTTCACGATACATGGGGATAGGCTTGTTTGCAGTAATGATATAAGCAATGGCATAAGTTGTTAGGACCGTTTGTGTATTTCTAATTATGCCCTCTACGGCGCTTGACTTTTTTTTCAGTATCCAAAGTAATCTGTCATAATAACGGTTTTACTAAAATCAACCTATTAAATAAGAGATGCTGAAATCATAGTGAAATAATGTTCGAAGACGATCTTGATGTGAACCGAAGGCCCTCTCAAAGCGTTTTACAGATTATTATTACCCGGTCATCAGATTCAGGCTTACCCGCACACAATGTAGGCCTATGCACATTCTCCACTCCCTGGGGAGCATTCCAGCCAGGCGTCATATTTTACAAGCGCACACTTGCTAATCTAACCACATTAGCTTTCGCATCCTACCGGGTTCCCATTTAACACCTGGGTGGAGAGGGGCAAAATATAGATCAATTTCTTGCCGAAGGACATTAGTGGCGCGGTAGGATTTGAACCACGGACCTTGTAATCCACAGTCCAGTGACATATCCATTCGTCCACGACATCTCTACAATGATGAAAATTAAGACAATAGAAATAATAATAATAATGATATTGATATGAATAATAATTATAATTATAATGAAATTGATAATAATAATAATAACGATAGCACTGATGATAATGATAATAATGTTACAGTAAATATTCAATAATAATATAGCACTTACTTCCGGCACTCAGCGCTCCCATATACATCATGTAACATCTAGCTAGGCTAACTAATTTCAGTGAAGTAGTGTAATTTGTCGATAACAAAAGACAAAGTCTTATCACGGTAAAGCTATACTGATGATAAAAGAATATTGTCAGCAGCAATGTTTGTCGTATCGGCAACCTGGAGAGCATGTTTAATCGTTTATTGTCGTTTCCAAATTCGCATCTTTGTCTCATTAATTAACAATAATGAATACGTTTACCTCTTACATAAGTTTACGCGCGTACGCCGACTGGGTGTCTGGAGTGGGCGGGGTCGGGGTGTGAGGCGATCTGTCTTACCCGCATGTTGCGTGTGGATTGTGTGTGTTGGGGGGGGGGGGGGGGAGGGGGAGGGGTGGTTGTGTGTTTGAGTGTTAGTATGAGAGTGTTGAGGTGTGTGTGTGAGGGGGGGGGGGGGGTAGCGCGGATTGTCTCATTCCTCGACTTTGCTCCTCCAACCTGTTGGTGGTCTGGAGTTTCCATTGTACCTGTGGATTGCTTATTTTTACTCCTTTTTCTTCATTTTGGGCCCAACGAAATTTTCAGTTTCTGATGCAATGCTATCTCGAGGTTCTTGCTTTTGTGCTTGTAATTGTTATAATTCTGATTATTTCTATTACGTGTACTCTGCCTTTTTTTCCCCAGATCATCTCAATTGTTTGTAAATATCTTAATTTGTCATTAATTTCTTTGTAACACAGCATTTGTATTTTTTTGGGAAAGTTTGTATATGTTATGATTTGATTTCTTAATAAAAACATAAAAAGAAAAAAAAAAAAAAAAAAAAAAAAAGTTTACGCGCGTACAAGGATATCAATTTAGCTATATTAAACCAGAATGCGTTACTTGTAAATAGTAATTAATTAATTAATTAAGGTCATCGATAGAGAGAGTGTGGGAGGAAACCCCTTCAAAATATTCCGTTATTTAAAGCCTAGAGGGCGAGTCTCGCTCGCTCTTTCTCTCTCTCTCTCTCTCTCTCTCTCTCTCTCTCTACTGCTCGTAAATTTTAACTATATCTTCTCATCAAATTGGGTCCAACACCACACCCTTATTCAAAATATTCAAGTGACGCCCCGAATAAATTGAAGCTCACTTGACAGGAAGCTTATTGATCATACTTTCGTTTTCCAGAGCATTGGTGTCAATCTCTATAGCTGGTTCCGCGGTATGAATTGAAGTGAAATCATTCTAAAGAATTAGAAATATAAAATCAACTAAATAAAACTTGGTAACTAGCGAAAGAAACACCTCTACAAACAAACATGGTGATTATCGGGACCTATGGATACCCCCCCCCCCCCAAGAAAAAATGGATCGAAAAACCATGGATGAGATGGCTTGTGATAAATTATTATTATGCCTCCTCGAGTTGCTATGGTTACTAGTATTGACTCCACGCTTGCTGAATGTGTTCTATCTGGATACCCATGAACTCACAACTTTATCATCATCATCATAATCTATACAACGGAGCAATACCAAACGAATACACATTACGGCATTAAAGGTACTATGTCCCTTTTGCAGCCAACCTCAAATTCTGTAGAACTTTGCAGGAATTATGAATATGTTATGTATGTCCTATCTGTGAAATTTGAACGTTAGCAGTGTCCTAGTATTCAAATCCGTGTACTTGCTAGACTTTACTGTCAGACACTATTGAGTGACTGACTGGCTTTTTTTCTTCTTTGGTAATAACATACATAAAATGAGCTGTAAAGGTACATGAGCATTTTTCTACACCAATACCGGTAACCCACTTCTTGTGATGGCCAACATTAAACTGATTGAATCTTTGCGCAGCATGAAACGTATGGCCATTTGGTACAATGGTCTGAACATCAAGACTATTACTTATTGGCTCTATAGCTCCTAAGTCGTTTTGACTTTCCCACTTGAAGACATTTTCAAGGCCCACCTTTTTTAGGGAAGTTCTAAATTAGTATTATCTTTCAAATGCAGTTGGAATTTA